TTTTTGTAATTTTAGCAGAGACAGGGTTTCACCATGTTGGCCAGGCTTGGGTTTCACCATGTTGGTCTTGAACTCCTAACCTCGTGATCCACCTGCCTTGGCCTCCCAAAGTGCTGGGATTACAGGCATAAGCCACTGCACCCGGCCAACACACTTTTTTTTGTTTTTGTTTTTTTGAGATGGAGTCTCGCACTGTCCCCCCAGCTGGAGTGCAGTGGCAGGATCCTGGCTCACTGCAACTTCTGCCTTCAGGGTTCAAGCAATTCTCCTGCCTCAGCCTCCCAAGTAGCTGGGGTTACTGGTGCCCACCACCATGTCCAGCTAATTTTTTGTAATTTTAGTAGAGATGGGGTTTCACCATGTTGGCCAGGCTGGTCTCAAACTCCTGACCTCGTGATTCACCCACCTCAGCCTCCCAAAGTGCTGGGATTACAGGCATGAGCCACTGTGCCTGGCCCATGCTGTCACATTTTAATGCCTCTCTGGGCCTGATAATTAAAAGGGGCTGGCATTTCTCAGTTAAAGTTTCTTTTCTTTCTCAAGAGTGATGGAATGAAGGGTCAACACAGTTAAATATAATTGTGAGATTCAATAAGATAATGGGAAATGGTCATTAGACTTTTGAGTAGAAGCACGTGGCAGAGACAATGCTATGCACTCACAAATCCATTTCCTTTTGTTCTTGAGCAGCTAGATTACATTCTACAGTCTACTTTGGGTTATGTGATTGCATTCTGGCCAAGGAAATATAGATAGAGATGATGTATGACACTTCCAGGCCTGGCTCCTAAAATCTCCTCTGAAATTCTTTTTTTTCCTTCTTGTTAGGAGACAGGATCTTGCTGTCACTCCCAGAGTGGTATCAAATTCTTGGGCTCAAGTGATCTCCCACCTAGGCTTCCCAAGTACCTGGGAGACTACAGGAACATGCTAGCATGCCCAGCTTGAAATTATTTACGTTTTCTTTCTTCCCTTATCTATTACTGTAGTTATAGAATATTCTGAGACCCTAGGAAATGGCATAGCCACTAGATGGATGGCACCTGGATCCCTGAATGCTGCTTGAAACAGAGCTCCCTGTTACCCCCAGAATCAACTGTAGTTCTAAGCCATTGAGTTTTGGGGGTTTGTTACATCAACTAAGATTACTTACCCTGACAATATAGGGCAAAAGATGTGTTACAATATACTGTGCAGCTAAGTGTAGAGGCCAGGAAGATGGCCCATGTTTTTAAGAAACTTTGTGGGCTGGGCACGGTGGCTCACATCTGTAATCCCAGCATTTTGGGAGGCAGAGGCAGGTGAATCACCTGAGGTCAGGACTTTAAGACCAGCCTGGCCAACATAGTGAAACCCTGTCTCTACTACAAATACAAAAATTAGCTGGGTATGGTGGTGCATGCCTGTAATTCCAGCTACTGGGGAGGCTGAGGCAGGAGAATCACTTGAACCTGGGAAGCACAGGTTGCAGTGAGATTGCACCACTGCACTCCAGCCTGGATGACAGAGCGAGACTCCATCTCAAAAAATAAACAGAAAAAAGAAATTTGGCAGAGAAATTAAGGATGAAGAAGGGATTATGTAGAAGAGAATGCAGGATTGATGTTTTTGCATTGGTTCAGGCTTCTGTGGCATTGACTTGACAATTCACTAACAACCCTGAACAGCAGGGATTAGCCCCCAAATTTGGTCTCTGCTCCCCATTCCAGGAACAGCTTTCTGGGATCATCAGGGCCTATAGTTCCCCTATCTGGTCTTTCAGAAAGATTTTCCAGAGCTTTCCAGGCATAGTGGCTACACCTGTAATCCCAGCACTTTGGGAGGCTGAGATGGGCAGATTACCTGAGGTCAGAAGTTCAAGACATGGTGAAACCCCATCTCTACAAAAATACAAAAATTAGTCAGGCATGATGGCAGGTGCTTGTAATCCAGCTGCTTGGGAGGCTGAGGCAGGAGAATCGCTTGAATTGGAGGTGGAGATTGCAGTGAGCTGAGATCATGCTACTGCACTCCAGCCTGGGCAACAGAGCACGACTCTGTCTCAAAAAAAAAAAAGCTTTTCCAGCTTACACTGTTTAAAATAAAAAAATAATAAAAATAAAAGGAGTGTCCAGGGTAGGGGACTAAGGGGTTAGGGATCACAGCCATCTTTCCCCCAGATGTAACAGCAGAGATCAGTGTCAGAGGCATCTGAACAACTCCATCCAGAGCAACTCCATCTTAAATAGGGGCTAGGTAAAATGAGGCAGAGACCTACTGGGCTGCATTCCCAGACAGTTAAGACATTGTAAGTCACAGGATGAGATAGGAGGTTGGCACAAGATACAAGTCATAAAGACTTTGCTGATAAAGTTGCAGTAAAGAAGCCAGTCAAAACCAAGAAGGCCACAAAAGTGACCTCTTGTCATCCTCACTGCTACATTCCCACCATTGCCATGACAGTTTATAAATGCCATGGCAATGTCAGGAAGTTGCCCTATATGGTCTAAAAAGGGGAGGCATGAATAATCCACCTCTTGTTTAGCATACTATCAAGAAATAACTGGCCAGGTGTGGTGGCTCATACCTATAATCCCAGTACTTTGAGAAGCCAAGACAGGCGGATCATCTGAGGTCAGGAGTTCAAGACCAGCCTGGTCAACATGGTGAAACCCCGTCTCTACTAAAAATACAAAAATTAGCTGGGCGTGGTGGCAGGCACCTGTAATCCCAGCTACTTGGGAGGCTGAGGAAGGATAATCACTTGAACCTGGGAGGCAGAGGTTCCAGTGAGCCAAGACCAAGCCACTGCACTCCAGCCTGGGCAACAGACTGAAATTCTGTCTCAAAAAAAAAAAAACCATAAAAATGGGAAACCAAGGCTGGGCGCGGTGGCTCATGCTTGTAATCCCAGCACTTTGAGAGGCTGAGGCAGGCAGATTACAAGGTCAGGAGTTCAAGACCAGCCTGACCAACATGAAACCTTGTCTCTACTAAAAATACAAAAATTAGCCAGGTCTGGTGGCACATGCCTGTAATCCCAGCTACTCAGGAGGCTGAGGCAGAAGAATTGCTTGAACCCGGGAGGTGGAAGTTACAATGAGTCAAGATTGTGCCACCGCACCGCAGCCTGGGCAACAGAAATCTAAAAAAAAAAGGGCAGTTAGCAGCCCTCAGGGGTGCTCTGTCTATGGAGTAGCCATTCTTTTATTCCTTCACTTTCCTAATAAACTTGCTTTCACTTCATGCTATGGACTCACTTTGAATTCTTTCTTGCATGAGATCCAAGAACCCTCTCTTGGGATCTGGATCGGGACCCCTTTCCTGTAACAACGCCTCTGGGATCTGGAAGGGAGGGAGCTAGATAGGCCCCATCTTAGCCATTCTCTTCTTCCTCCCAAAAATGACCGTGGGGAGTCACAGAAAGAGGAGAATTAGGGAGATGTTCTTGAAGAGATGTTCCTGATGGGGGTCAGGATTTAGTTGCAGTGATTCAGAGGTGGGACTGAAGCACTAGTGTTCTTGGGAAAATGGAGCTGTCTACAAACTCTAGTCACTCAAACAAATACAACTGAGAGGATAGAAAAACAGATCTCCTGTTCCTGTCTTACCTTTTTGGATACTATGAACAGCCAGTGGGACAGGTAAAACCCCCATTTTTCAGTCCCCAGCTCCCTGCCTCTTACCTCAAAAGGTAGCCTCTTCCAATTCCAGTCTGAGGACCCTAGGGCACAGATCAAGTAAATGACCCATGACCTAGTTTTTGCAGCTCAATTGCAAAACACCTGGCTTGGATTGGCCTGGATTGGGGGAAGGGACCTCCCTGGTATAGCTCAGCTTCTAACTCACACTAGGTTTCTGTTTTGCATTCCACTTAAGTCTGAGAGGCATCTCACAGCACTGGCAAGAGCCTTGGAAACTTGCATTCAAATCTCTGCTTGGCCACTAATTCTCTGGGTTACCTTGAGTCCTCTGGTCCCCACTGGGAAATGGGGAAGAGGTTTAGACAATATTTAGATGGCTCTTTAAAAGTACCAGGAGGCCAGGCATTTGGGAGGCTGAGGTGGGCAGATCACTTGAAGTCAGGAGTTCAAGACGTCTGGCCAACATGTGAAACCCTGTCTCTACTAAAAATACAAAAATTAGCCGAGTGTGGCGGCAGGCACCTGTAATCCCAGCTACTTGGGAGGCTGAGGCAGGAGAATCTCTTAAACCCAGGAAGCAGAGGTTGCCGTGAGCTGAGATTGTGCCACTGCACTCCAGCCTGGGTGACAGAATTAGACTCTGTCTCAAGGAAAGAAAGAAAGAAGAAAGAAAGAGAAAGAAAAAAAGAGAAAGAAAGAAAGCGAAAGAAAGAAAGAGAGAAAAAAAGAAAGAAGAAAGAAAGAAAGAATGAAAGAAAGAGAAAAAAAGAAAGAAGAAAGAATGAAAGAAAGAAAAGAAAGAAAGGAAAGAAGAAAGAAAAAAGTACTAGGGGAGGAATTAATTTGAATTCTATCCTAGTGTTAGCCAATTGGTCTGATTCAAGGAAAATTTTAAAAAGGGAAGGGGATGTGTAAAGGAAACACCAGGCCCCACCTAGATGGTGGCTGGAACTTCTGATGGTCCTGTACCCCCCAGATTTTTAGGTTTCTTATAGCCCTTTTAACACTCCCACTTCTTGTGCTTTCTGTCTTTGTGTGTGTATGAGGGAGAGAGAGGAAGGAGAGCAAGAATGAGAGAAAGGGAGAGAATATGGTTACTCAGCACTCTTTCCCAAATTTATTTTTGCTTTTGGGGATGGATCATGGTTATGGTGAAGTACTCCTCCCGCACCACCGGGTTTGCCTCTCCTCCACTACAGCCACTGAACAGGTGACTGAAGTGCTTGGTAATATCATTACTCCAGGGTAAGCTCAGGCAGGGCAGAGTCAATAGGTGCCTAGCACATGGTAGATGCTCAGTAAATATTTGCTGAATGAAAGATCAAATGAATTACTGCAGCAAGCAAGTCCTGTAGGCGTCCTGGAGCCCAAGGATTCTGCAGTAAGCAGCTTTCACAGAGATTCTTCCAGTGTAGCGGCTCCAGCACTGGGTGGAGTGGGATCGTCAATGCCGTCCCCCAGGGTTCAGAGTTGCTCTGAGCCCCGCCCCCAGGTGGCCCGGCAGCCCACCCAGTTAGTCACGTGCTGGCGGCTAGCCAATCATCGGGGGCGGTGCGGGGCGGGGCGGTAGAGACGGAGAAAGCGAAGGGTAAGACACCGCCCTGCAGACTTTCCAGCGGATCCCCCGGTGTCCTCATGTCGCGCAGCGGAACCGGTCCTGAGCAGCGCCAGCAGGCGTCAGAGGCGGACACCGCAGCAGCAACCTTCCGACCAAGCGGTAACCGTACCGCGGCCGGGACTCGCTAGGGCGCAGAGCCTAGCCCTCTGCTTCTTTAGGAAGTTCTTGCCCCCACCGAAGGTTGGAACGCTCATTCCGAGCCAGACAGACAAGGCGAACAGTCGCCAGTGTACAGGCTGCAGGCCAGTTGGCGCTGGGAAGGTCCAATCCTAGGCCTCTAGCTCTGGAGCGGGACAGGGCGGAGAGGGCGCTGCCGAGCTTGGGCCTGCTGGTGGGTGAGACCCAGGAGAGAGGGAGCTCGAGAGCTTTGCGGCCGGGCGCGGTGGCTCACGCCTGTAATGCCAGCACTTTAGAAGGCCGAGGCGGGCGGATCACGGGGTCAGGAGTTCGAGAGCAGCCTGGCCAATATGGTGAAACCCTGTCTCTCCTAAAAAAATACAAAAATTAGGCGGGTGTGGTGGCACGTATCTGTAGTCTCAGCTACTCGGGAGGTTGAGGCAGGAGAATCGCTTGAACCTGGGAGGTGGAGGTTGCAGTGGGCCGAGATCAAGCCACTGCACTCCAGCCTGGGCGACAGAGTGAGACTTCGTCTCAATAAATAAATAAATAAATAAGAGAGTTTTGCGGACTGATCTTGACTGTGTGCCCCCAGACCATCAGCATATCCGCTACAACCCGCTGCAGGATGAGTGGGTGCTGGTGTCTGCTCACCGCATGAAGCGTCCCTGGCAGGGTCAAGTGGAACCCCAGCTTCTGAAGACAGTGCCCCGCCATGACCCCCTCAACCCTCTGTGTCCCGGGGCCACCCGAGCCAATGGAGAGGTAAGCCTGTAAAGCCCTGCATCTGCAGGCTGGGCCACAGGGATTAGTTCCCTCCTTAGAGCTATCCTCCACCCACAGGGACAGTGAACCTCCTTCTGGGTCCTATCCCATCAAGCCTTTTTGTCTCCTAGAGTGGGCCTTCCCTACTCCCTTGTAGCCTGTTCAGTCTTTGAAGCCCATCAGGTAACTGGTGGTATGGGGCGGTGAATGCTTCTAGCCCATCTTTGTCAGTAGGTGAATCCCCACTACAATAGCACCTTCCTGTTTGACAACGACTTCCCAGCTCTGCAGCCTGATGCCCCCAGTCCAGGTAACCTGGCTCCAACTGCTGTTGGGAGGAGGGCAGCTAGACCTCTTGGGGGTCTTCTGCTGCAGAGAGTGATGCTCCTTTATCTCAGGACCCAGCGATCATCCCCTTTTCCAAGCAAAGGCTGCTCGAGGAGTCTGGTAACTATGGATTTCCCCTCTTATAACTTTCAAACCAGGGTTGGAGACTCAGCATTGGGGTTGGGCCCTGCCCATAGCACAGCCAAGCCCTACCTCTCGGTTTTCTTTTTCCCCCTCACCACCCAGTAAGGTCATGTGCTTCCACCCCTGGTCGGATGTGACGCTGCCACTCATGTCGGTCCCTGAGATTCGGGCTGTTGTCGATGCATGGGCCTCAGTCACAGAGGAGCTGGGTGCCCAGTACCCTTGGGTGCAGGTTTGTAAGGTTGCCCCTTCCCCTGGATGGGCAGGGAGGGGGTGATGAAACTTTGGTTCTGGGGAGTAACATTTGTTTCCACAGGGTGTGGTCAGGAGGGGGTTGACTTGGTGTCTTTTGGCTAACAAAGCTCCCTATCCCTACCTGATAGATCTTTGAAAACAAAGGCGCCATGATGGGCTGTTCCAACCCCCACCCCCACTGCCAGGTAAGGGTGTCAGGGGCTCTGGTTGGTTTCTTGGCTGAGTCTGAGCCAGCACTGTGGACAGGACAAAGGATATATGCAAATGACGTGGAGGCTTGGAGGTAAAGGAACTGCCTGCTCTTCTCTGCTTTTGCCCCCTGACAGGTGTGGGCCAGCAGTTTCCTGCCAGATATTGCCCAGCGTGAGGAGCGATCTCAGCAGGCCTATAAGAGTCAGCATGGAGAGCCCCTGCTACTGGAGTATAGCCGCCAGGAGCTACTCAGGAAGGTGGGAGAGAGCCAAGCCCTCTGTCCCCAAGGAGTCCCTAGCTTTCTTACCCCACGCGAGAGAGGTGTGTAAAGAAGAAAGCTAGAGGGGAACTAGCAGAAAGACTTGCTAGGAGGCCTTAGCAATAATCCAGTAATGTGAAGAAAAGAGGATGGTGACTTAGACTCAGGTGGTTAATGGTGGAGGTGGTGAGAAGCCATCAGATCCTGAGCACATTCTTTTCTTCTGCTTCCCCTGCCTATTTGCTGACCCCACCCTGGTCCCTATGTCACCTTGGTGACTTCCTATCCATTCTGTCTGCTTAGGAACGTCTGGTCCTAACCAGTGAGCACTGGTTAGTGCTGGTCCCCTTCTGGGCAACGTGGCCCTACCAGACACTGCTGCTGCCCCGTCGGCATGTGCGACGGCTACCTGAGCTGACCCCTGCAGAGCGTGATGGTCAGTCTCCCAACTAGGACCCTGGGGCTAGGCACTGGGTGGGGGTTGCTCCCGGTAGGGTCAGCGTCTAGACCCCAGGCTGAGAGTCAGGCTCTGATTCCAGATCTAGCCTCCATCATGAAGAAGCTCTTGACCAAGTATGACAACCTATTTGAGACGTCCTTTCCCTACTCCATGGGCTGGCATGGTGAGGCTTTTCAAGTACCTATATCTAGTCCCAACACCATTTTTGGGCTCCTGGGGCCTGGCTTAGTGAACTACATTCCCAAATGAGCGAGACTTGAAACAGTTGCTGGGGGAAGTGGCCAGAGCAGAGATGCTGGGACTGAGGTTGGAGCAGCAAACTTGGTGAAACTGTGTCTCCAATGTGCTTTCTAATTTCCTGCCAGCTCTTCTCAGGCAGGGGATCCTGGGAGATGTGGTTTTCAGGTACCTGGCTGGGTTTGGGCTTAGGGGCTAAGCTGGAGAACTGAAAAAAGCCTCTCTTCCCCAACTGTTTCTCTTCTTTCTGTCAGGGGCTCCCACAGGATCAGAAGCCGGGGCCAACTGGGAGCACTGGCAGCTGCACGCTCATTACTACCCTCCGCTCCTGCGCTCTGCCACTGTCCGGAAATTCATGGTTGGCTACGAAATGCTTGCTCAGGCTCAGAGGGACCTCACCCCTGAGCAGGTCAGGACTCAGAGCAGTCTGGCTTCTCCAGATGCTTACATACAGTATGTGTAGGCACTAGATACTTCTGTTGCCCTTGCGCTCCAATCATTGCACAAGGCAGAAAACAGCTCTGGCAGGGAAGGGACTGCCAAAGTTAGGAGCCCTAGGGCCTGGAAGGAGGATATGGTCCTTAGGTTCCCTTTCTCTTCTGCTTTCTCTAGGGATCCCAACAGTCATGACCCTGATAACTCCCATAACATCCTGGGCATTCCTTGGGACTGAGGAGCTGCTCAACTCTTTCATCCCCTGGTGGCTCCAGCAGTCCTTATCACCAGCCTCCCAATCTGGGAGTGGGCCTGTGGGATTCATATTTCATATTCATATTTCAAACTATAATATCCAGTGAAGTGTTTCCTGAGTACCCAGAACTCCATAACACCGACTAGGTGCTTTGGCTCATGCCTTAATCCCGGCACTTTGGGAGGTCAAGATGGGAGGATTGCTTGAGCCCAGAAGCCTAGCAACATAGGAAGACCCTGTCTCTACAAAAAAATTTTTTAAAGTTACCCAGGTTGGTGGCATATACTGTGGTCCCAGTTACCTGGGAGGCTGAGATAGGAGGATTACTTGGGCCCAGGAGTTTGAGGCTGCAGTGAGCCATGATCATGGCATCACTGCATTGCAGCCTGGGCAACAGAGCAAGACCCTGTCTCAAAAAACAACAACAACAACAACAAGAAGTCCATACCACCATTCTTGGCAGCCCAGCCCTTATCCTCCTTACTTGCTCCCTGTCCCTTTTCCAGGCTGCGGAGAGACTAAGGGCACTTCCTGAGGTTCATTACCGCCTGGGGCAGAAGGAGAGGGAGACAGCAACCATCGCCTGACCACAGGGCCTTGAATCCTGTCCTGGAATTTGGGCAGATATAGCATTAATAAAATTGTGCATCTCAAACTTCAGTCACATACTCTAATATCAGAGGAGTGTGAACCTTTAGGGATCTAGGGTTAAAAGCTGAAGGCATAGCTCCAGCTACAACTTTACTTTTTCTACAGATATGTAAAATCTTGATGCAAAAATTCTACCCCAAATCTCTGAACAAAATTAATATTCAGTATTACATCTAGCCTATAGATTCTCCTACTCTTGGTGTAATGACAGCATTCCCAGTTTAGGAAACTGTTTTAAAATTGTGTTCTTGGTTGTGGCTGAGGCTTTGGGAAGGCTAGAGTCCCCTTTGCCACCACCCCTAGAGTGTCAGCTCCAAGCCTGGGCCTGAGGGTTTGACGGAGCGGGTGAGCTGGATCGTGGTCGAAGTGGTCAGTGGCCAAACCCTGGGCTGTTGGCCAGAACCCTGGCTTTGTGAGTGGCTGCAACTTGGCTCTGCTCCAGCCCACAGGGGCTAAAGGGGTGGGTAGGGAGCATGTAGGGAGTGTGTACTTGGCTTTGTGTCCTTGGCTCCTCTAGACTCTCACATGTGCGGGCACCGTATACTTCTGCTGCCCTTGTGCTCCAATCACTGCACAAACAGAAACAGCTCCGACAGGGAAGGGACTGCTGGAGTTAGGAACCCTAGGGCCTGGAAGGAAGCTATGGCTCTCAGAGTGACCTGGGGTCTATTCTGTCCCCTCTGAACCTGTTTCCCTGGCAACACTGGGAACAACAGTCCATGCAACACAGAAGACCTGATGTCATCTGGTGTCCTCCAAATTTTCAGGTGAAGGCAGGGATTGTGAATGATGCAGGGATGGCCAGAATGATTTCTGCCTTCATTCTTTTCCAAGTGGAACCAAGCCTGTGGGTGGGGAAATCACACTAAGACTGGACAGTGACTGAATCTGACCCAGAAGAACCTTGGCTGCCTGCCTTCCAGGCCAGGGTCTTTCTTCCCTGAGATTCTGGAGGGGAAGTACCTGGAACTCAGGAGTGTTGCCCTGGTCTGGAAGATCTGATAGACATAGTATGCACCCATTTCCCTCGAGCTACTGGTGACTGGGGAACAGATGAGAACCCTGGGTGGGTGGCTGGTTTCTTGAGGCACACATACACTTGACACACCTTACACCTCTGATTTGGGTGCATTTTGGAATCATCTGGGAAGTTTTAAACAATACTGATGCCTAGGTCCAACCTCCAGAGATTCTGATTTAATTGGTATGGGGTGGGGTTTTGCAGTTTTCAAACCACAATATCCAACAAAGTTTGAGAACCACTGCCCTAAACAGCCCTCCTTGTTCCTTATCTTATCTGAAGGCGGGGGCACCTTCAGCTTCTCCAGTCACCTAGCCAGTGGCTCTTGCTTCCAGTCCTGCTGTCCCAGGGTGGATAGGCCTTCAGGCGGAGACCCGGGAATCCAGCTAGACTCTGTCCCAGGCGGCCTCTACAGTCCGGGACGGGACAGGAAGTGTCCGGCGGAGGTGGGGGTGGAGGTGATTGGCAGTTGGAGTCTCCAATGGGCCAGGAGCCCCCCCTATTTCACCCCTCTCTTTCCATTGGTGCCTGGGCGGAGCCGCCCCCACTGCAGGGGCGCAGGGCGGGAGGGAGTAGAGGCCGGGGCAGAGGGCGAGGGCAGAGGGCGCTGGCTGCAGCGGCGGCGGAAGGTAAGGCCTGGTGTAGACGCCAGTCTTGCCAGGAGTGGGCGGGGCAGGGTGATGTATGATTTGAAAGGCCCAGAGTGACTGACGACTGTCAGTGTGTGTGTGTGCCTGTGAGGCTGTGTCTGTGTGACAGTATCATTGTGTGCAATTCTGAGTGTCACTTGGTGCTAGTGTGACTGCATGTGTCAGTGTGCATGAAGCTGGGTCTGCATGTGGCTGTGCAAGTGTGGGATTATGTGTTTATCAGTCAGTGCACATTTTTGGTGTGATGGGGTTGTGTGTGTGAGAGGGACTGTGATCACATTAGGGAAAGTGTTTTGGGAAGGTCTCTGTGGGGTTTGATGCCATGTCTGCCAGTGTGAGAGTTGGTGGCTGGGTTTGTGTGTGCCAATGTGTGACTTCAGCAGTAGCAGAGCAAAAATGAGGTTTCTGACTGTGTGTGTCCTGGGTCCTTAGACGGCGTGAGAGTACAGCTGTATTCACATATTGGGGGACCTACTTCAGGAGCCCATGGGACTGACCTTTCTCTTAAGTGTCCAGCATGGACAGACACACCCACAACACACGTGGCTTCCCCTCCTTCTTCCTCTGCTCAAGAATCCCCAGCACTAGGTCTACTACTCCTTATTTTCTGTTTCCCTGCTTGGCTCAGTTTCCCTCACATGCCGTTTTCTCTCCCTATTGCTCTTACTAGAGAATTCTGTGTGTCTCTTCAGTTTTGTCCCCTCTCCCCCAAATCTCTCTGTGTGAGTGCATTTCCAGTTCTGCCTCTCCTGCCCTCTGTCTCTCCCTGTGCCCCTGTGCCTGCCTTCCCTGCTGATCTTGATCTTTTTGGCTAGTTGGGGGCCTGTGATGAGATGGGTCTGCCACTGCTAAGAGCTCCCTGGGAGATGGGGCTTAGACCATGATGAGTTGCTTTTAGGCGGTCCTGTGAACACTGATAGGGGCTGTGTGTGTGTGTGACTGTGTGAATATGTGTGTGTCTGAGTCCGAGGCTGTGTGGCTGTGTCTGTGTGAATGTGAGTGACTATATGTGAGAGAGTGTGAGTGTGAGAGTAACTGTGGGCCTTGTGTATCTGGCACCAAGGGACCAAAGGCATTTCCTGGTGCTGGGGCCCAAAGAGTGGAGGGGGAGGTGAGAAATGGCTGGAACTTCCAGGGGATGGGGAACTGGACTCTGGCCTCTCCTTATATCCCCCAACCTAGGGCCTCCCTTCCCCTGGAAGCACAGCCAGTTGTGCCCTAAGGAAACATTTGGTGAGGAATGAAAAGAGGGTGAGTTTGTATCTGATTTTTCATTTGATTGTATCCATGTGTGTTCAAAGGCATGTCCTTTTGTTAACTGTGCCTTGTGAGTCCATGTGTTAATATGACTATGTTTGGCTGTGTGAAAACACAGGGCATCTCTCACTGACAGGGACATAAGTATTAGCCACCCTCCTTTCTCTCTTGCTGGCCTTGGCTGTGTCTGTGGCTTCCTTTCCAGACTTGGGGGAGGCCTCTTCCCTTTCTAGGGCCTGGGGTGGGAGGGAAGGAGGGAGAAGGCAGGAGGGGGGAGGGGGCCTGGCTAGGGGTGGCTGAGGCTTAGAGGGGGCGGGGCAGGGAAAGGGAAGGAGGGGATGGCTCTGGGGTCCCAGAACTGAGTGGAGCAGGAGACGGGGTCTGTAGCTGGTGAGAGGAAGTCCTGAAGGCCATGGACATTCTGCTGCTGGGATCACCAAGGTAGGGTGGGGCTAACTAAGCAGGATAAGTGTGGCTGGGGTCCAGGGGTGAGCCAACTGGATACACTCAGACATACAGACACGTGGAGGCCCTGCTCTGCTTTACTCCTATGCCTGAAGGGTCCGCACTCTTCCTCTTCTGGTCTTGTACTCAGAGCCCTTTCCCCGCCTGCTCCTTCATTCTCGATCCACTTCACCACTGCCTTCCTCCTCCTGCTCCCCCTTGTCCAGAATCTCTCTCTCATAGCATCCCCCACCCCACCATATAGACACAGTTAGCTTTTTGACACCATATGGACACAGTTAGAGTTGCTCCTGACCCCAACCCAGTCCTCCCCACACTAAGCCCACATCACCTCCTAGTCCTGATCTGTGAGTATCTCTTGGTGCTGCCCCCATGCCAGGCCCCAGTCCCTGCAGGCTCCCGGTTCCTCTCAGCCTCCCATCCCCTTCCCTCCCCTTGCCTCCCCGCCACCCTGTCTCCATCTCCATCTGCTGGCTCCTCGCCCGCCCCCCCAGCCTCTGGCAGCAGCCAGGGCATCTGGATCTGCTTAACTCCACAGCCCCAGCCTGCACCCTAGCCCCATCCAGCTTCACAGACTGGAGACCAACAAAGTGTCAGAGCCAGGCCCAGCCGAGTGGCCCAAGTAGCCAGAGCAAGGAGCCAGGTTCAGGCGAGAAGCCTG